GGGAGCCCGATGCGGGACTCGATCCCAGGACCCCGGGATCATGACCTGAGCCGAAGGCAGACGCTTAACCATCTGAGCCACCCAGGCGCCCCTTAAATCCTTTTCTTACACATTCAGAAACTCATTGATTCAGCTTTTTAAAAAAAATTACTGTGGGACACATTCTTGAGGGTTACTTTTCATTTTCTCTCTTTCCCCTTAGTGCTTCAGAATTGTCATTTAGAGATGGCCTTCCTTTATTATGTCCCATGCCTTTCCTCCAGCCGTCAACTTTGAGGGTACCATCACTACATTTGGGGGACAGCTTTTTCTCTATATGACAGAAGTAGTTATGTTTCCTGACATTTTCTTTTTACTTGGCTAGTGTAACACAACACTGACTTGATCTTTCTAACTAATTTACTTATTTTGACATTTTACAAAAAGTTTTTGTACTTTGTTTACAGGAAATTGAGTTAATTATATTCCTTAGTTGTTAATTAATATCATTATCAATATGTTTACCCTGTGCCCCAATTTTATTTTTTTAGATCTCTCTTTTAATTCTCACTCATATTTATTTTTATCCTCAGAGGTAACTGCTCTAATGTTGTTGATATGTTTGCTATCTGTCTTTGAATTTGTAGGGTATTTGTAAAATTTAAATTGTTGGTATTTTTAATTTGTAGAAACGGCATGGTGCTATACGTCCTACTCAGTTTCTTGTTTTTTTCTCTTAACACTAAATTGGTTCATGTTGCAATGTGGTTTTCTAGAAAAGTTCATTGCTTCTAACTGATGCATAGCATTCCATACTGTGGATATATACCACATTTTACTTGTCCAGCTTCCCACTACTACAATTAATACTGTAGTAAATTTCTTTATGAACTATTCTTGGGGGATGAGAGTTTCTTGGGGAAGAGTAATGGGATCGCCTTATCATTGGGTTATAATACTCTGTTTGATGAAGTATGACCACATTATTTTCTACAATCCCAAGTGTACAAAGACATCAGTTTCTCTACAGCCCTGCCCCTATTTCTAATAATTTGGCCAATCCAATGGATTATAATTTCTAATTACTTCTTTAATTTGTGCTTCTCTAATAAAATATTTTGAACATCTCATCATGTATCTTGTAATAGATTCTGACTTCATTACTCTTCCCAGTTTTATTGAGAAATAACTGACATATATCAGTGTATAAATTTAAGGCATACAACATGATGGTTTGATTTGTATATACTGTGAAATGATTACCACCATAAGTTCAGATAAAATCCATCTTCTCATATGGATACGATAAAAAAAAAAGAGAGGAGAAAAGGGAAAATTGTTTTTTCTTTGTGATGAGAACTCAGGATCTACTCCATTGACAACTTTTCTATATACCATACAGCAGTGTTAGCTCTAGTCACCATGCTGTGCTTCACATTCCTAGTACTTACAACTGGAAGTTTGTATCTTGACCACCTTCTTCTGGTTCCTCTCCCCGACCCTCTGCCTCTGGTAACCACAAGTCTGACCCTCTGCCTCTGGTAACCACAAGTCTGATCTCCTTTTCTATGAATTTGTTTTTGTTTTTTTTTCTTTTAGATTCCACATGTAAGTGAGATTATGTAGTATTTGTCTTTCTCTGATTTATCTCGCTTAGAATTATGCTTTCAAGGTCCCATCCATGTTGTTGCAAATGGTAGGATTTCCTCATTTTTTTTATGGCTAAATAATATTCCATTGTATATATACACTACAACTTTATCCTTTCATTCACTGATGGACACTTAGGTTGTTTGCATGTCTTGACTATTATAAATATTACTACAATGACTCTGGGGTTGCAGATATCTTTTCGTATTAGTGTTTTTGTTTGCTTTGGATATATTCCCAGAAGTGGAATTGCTGGATCATATGGTAGTTCTCTTTTTAATTTTGATGATCTTCTATACTGTTTTCCATAGTGGCTATTCCAGTTTACAATTCCACCAAAGGTACACGAGGATTCCCTTTTCTCCACATCCATGCCAGCATTTGCTATCTCTTGTCTTTTTGATGATGGAAATTTCTAACAGGCATGAGGTGATGTCTCTTTGTGGTTTTAATTCACATTCCTCTGATGATGATTGAGCATCTTTTCATATACCAGTCAGCCTTTCATGTATCTACTTTGGAGAATATCCATTCAGGTCCTTTGCCCATTTATTTTCTGATTTAGATAATATTTATTTTTTTTTAAGTTTGTATTTAAATTCCAATAGTTAACACATAGTGTCTTACTAGTTTCAATGTATTGATTCAACATTTACATACAACACCTGGTGCTCACCACAGGAGCACTCCTTAATCCCCAGCACCTATTTCCCTATCCCCTCACCCACCTCCCTTCTGGTAACCATCAGTGTGTTCTCTACAGTTTTTTTTTTTTTTAAGATTTTATTTATTTGAGGGACGCCTGGGTGACTCAGTTGTTAAGCGTCTGCCTTCTGCTCAGGTCATGATCCCAGGGTCCTGGGATCGAGCCCCGCATCGGGCTCCCTGCTCGGCGGGAAGCCCGCTTCTTCCTCTCCCACTTCCCCTGCTTGTGTTCCCTCTCTCGCTGTGTCTCTCTCTGTCAAACAAATAAAATCTTTAAAAAAAAAAAAAGATTTTATTTATTTGAGAGAGAGAGAGAGGGCATGCATGAGAGAGCATGAGCAGGAGGAAGCGGCAGAGGGGAGGGAGATGCAGACTGCCCGCTGAGCAGGGAGCCTGATGCAGGACTCAATCCCAGGACCCTGGGATCACAACCCAAGCTGAAGGCAGATGCTTAAACAACTGAGCCACCCCAGGCACCCAGTGTGTTCTCTGTAGTTAAGAATCTGTTTCTTGGTTTGCCTTTCTCTCTTTTTTTCCCTCCTTGGCTCATTTGTTTCTTAAATTCCACATATGAGTGAAATCATATGGTATTTGTCTTTCTCTGACTGATTTATACTATCTCCATACAGGTCATTGCAAATGCCTTTGCCCATCCCCCCACCCCCAGTTTCTATTTAAATACCAATTAGCTAATATACAATGTAACATTAATTTCAGGTGTACAGTATAGTGATTCAACACTTCCATACAAGTGCTCATCACAAGTGCCCTCCTTAATCCCCATCACACATCAGACCCATCCCCTCACCCACCTCCCATCCAGTAACCATCGGTATGTTCTTTATAGTTAAGAGTTTGTTTCTTGGTTTGCCTTTTTTTCTCTCCTATGTTCATTTGTTTTATTTCTTAAATTCCACATACAAATGGAATTATATGGTATTTGTCTTTCTCTGATTGACTTATTTCACTTAGCATAATACTCTCTAGCTCCATCCATGTCATTGCAAATGGTAAGATTTCATTCTTTTTATGGCTGAGTAATACTCCATTATATACACCCCATATCTTCTTTTCTTCTTTATCCATTCATCAGTCGATGGACATTTGGGCTTTTTCCATACTTTGGCTGTTGTTGATAATTTTTGTATTCTTTGGGTAAATACCTAGTAGTGTAATTGCTGGATCATAAGGTAGTTTTATTTTTACCATTTTGAGGAACCTCCATACTGTTTTCCACAATGGCTACACCACTTTGCATTCCCACCAACAATGTAACAGGGTTACCCTTTCTCCACATCCCCGCCAACACCTGCTCTTCCTTGTGTTGTTGATTTTAGCTATTCTGACTGGTGTGAGGTATGATATCTCATTGTAGGTTTGATTTGTATTTCCCTGATAATGAGTGATGTTGAGCATCTTTTCATGTGTCTATTAGCCATCTATAATTCTTCTTTGGAAAAATGTCTATTCATGTCTTCTGCCCATTTTTTTCCCCATTGAATTATTTGGTTTTTGGGTGTTAAGTTTTATAAGTGCTTTATATATTTTGGATACTAACCCTTTATCATTTACGTCAATTGTAAATATCTTCTCCCATTCCATAGGTTCCCTTTTAGTTTTGTTGATTGTTTCCTACACTGTGCAGAAGCTTTTTATTTTAATTAAGTCTCAATAGTTTATTTTGCTTTTGTTTCCCTTGCCTCAAGAAACATATCTAGTAAGAAATTGTTATGGCCTATGTCAGAGAGGTAGGATTTTGATGGTTTCCTGTCTCTCACTTAGCTCTTTAATCCATTTTGAATTTATTTTTATGTATGGTGTAAGTAAGTGGTCCAGTTTCATTCTTTTGCATGTTGCTGTCCAGTTTTCCCAACCCCATTTGTTGAAGAGACTTTTTTCCATTGGATATTCTTTTCTGCTTTGTCAAAGATTAATTAACCATATATTTGTGGGTTCATTCCTGGCTTTTCTGTTCTGTTCCATTGATCTGTGTCTGTTTCTGTGCCAGTACAATACTGTCTTGATCACTACAGCTTTGTAATATTACTTGAAGTCCAGAATTGTGATGACTTTTAGCTTTGCTTTTCTTTTTCAAGATTGCTTTGGCTATTCAGGGTCTTTTGTAGTTTCATACAAATTTTAGGATTGTTCTAGCTCTGTGAAAAATGCTGTTGGCATTTTGATAGGGATTGCATTAAATGTCTAGATTGC